CAAAGACTACTGCTTTTTTCCCCTTCCTGTTTCTTAATTGCATTTGCGTGACTGAAGACTTAATCGGATTGCTTTAACAAGCAACAAGCTTTTGATTTTTGCCAGAGCTGTTGGCGACATAAACACGTTAACAAATAACGGAGGCGGGAAGATCACAATTTAAGTTTGTTTGTGAGTAAACGTTTTTATACGAAATTTTATTCTCCTTCAAGCATCTTTCCGGCACAATATCATCTCTACACTAACTACTACAGAAGTACACTAACAGAAACTCTCGAGATTATTTTTCTCACTTAGTAGTTGAAGGAAAAGTTTGTTTACTGTTTCGAGATGAATTTTAGAATTGATTAATTTGTGTGGTTTTTTTTTTTTTTTTTTTTTTTTTTTTTAAATATATACTTTCCCAGCGATAATGAATTTTATCCTGAAAAAATAAAGGGAAGTATGTAACGCGGGATAATTTTTGACTTTAGGGATTTTATTTGAACACTCATGTTTGTGTGGAGAAAGCCCGATTAAAACTCTATTCTCCATTGGCTTTTCCTTTTATAGATTTATTACCAAAATTTTTTCTTTTTAAAAAGGCAAGAATTTCTGTTGAACCTGGTTTGCAATTTGCTAGGGGCTGGAAAACATTAGAGATTTTTGTCCTGGTGAGAAGTTGGTGACTGTCCCCAGCCATGTCAATGGTTGATAAGATTTTTGTTCTTTTTAGTTTTTTTTGTCATTGTTTCAAAGAAAAGCGAGAAAAACCACACGCCTCCTATATAAACTTAACTTTAAGAATATATCTCCCCCCACAAAGTCTGTTTTGATGTCTGGTCGTATTACTCCAACCCACGTTCAACATTTCTTCTTCTCTCAGCATTTTCTCTCGTTGTTTTCGCTTCCTTGACCTTACCAGTAAGTGAGTTGAGAGATTTAAGTTGCAAACATTTTCCATATGACAAGCGGGGTGGGGTAGAGTGCGTGCGTTTCTTTCTTTTTTTTTTTTTTTTTTTTTTTTTTTTCTTTATTATTATCATCATCATCATAGATTTTAATGACATGACGATAAAGTAGGGTATTTGAACTGTAGAGTTCGAGTTTATGGTCGTAATTTAAAATACTTACCCATTTTCTTTTTCTTTCTGAACTTAAATTTCCCGATACCAGGTACATTTATTTGTGTGTTAAAAACAAAACAACAAAAAAACAAAACAAAACGAAATAATTCCTCGATTTCGTTCATGAATTATTTTATTTTTTTAAGTATTGTAAAAGAGCACTTTGTGCGCCATAATTATTATTTGTTAATTTGTTTCCACCCGTGAAAATTCAATTTATTTTTATTTGTTAAATCGTTGTCGTTGTGGTATTTTTTGCGTTTATCGTTGTCGTTGTGGTCCATCTACCTTGTGATTAAAAAGGCGATAGTCGCCTATTTCTCTCAGCCACACAAACAACTTGTGAATCCAGGTAAAAAAAAAAAAAACCCCAAAAAACAATGAAATCCTAATTTTTAATATCGGCTCCTCTCGAATGTACATCTTCCTACTAACTTTCCCACATTCTGTGCTACAACTAAACAAATCTTTTTAATCACAATGAATGAAGATAGACTGACATCAACAAGAAGTGGGTAGATTTAAAAAATTTAAATTAATAAAATGTTTAATTTATTTACATTTTTTTGTGAGGTCACGTGCAGTTTTGTTGACATTCAAGAATGTCGAAGTGTCTTGTAAAAATTGATGAATGTGCTGTGCTATTTTGGGACGGGTGGTGAAAAAAAGCGTGTCTAATACTCGATACAGAATGACGGCTTACTACATTTTGAAGAGAGCATTGGAATGCAAACAATGTAAAAGCAGAAGTGAAAGCAGACGACAAGGAAGTGACTTGACCGGGGAAGAAAGACTAATTTCGATGTCTTCAGTCCCCACCCACCCCCACAAGCCGTCCGATTGTTCACTGCTGGAGTGAATTTTGTAAATCTACACCATTTCTCAACAAACCTTGCTTTCGTCATTTTCCTCAAACACGCTTTGTTCATTTCCGTTCATTTTGATGTTGTTTTTTTTTTCTTCCTTCTGGCCATTTTTAGCTCCTACCCCTTGCCGAACCGATTGAGAATTTTTTTTGGTTATATCAAGTATATACTGGAGGCGAACCAAATTAAATAAACAAACAATAATTGTTTACAGACTCTCTCTCTCTCTATTCGTCGACCCATGATGACATATTTCTTTTGAAAAGCCAACATTTTAAATGACCGTTAGTCTGATTTTTACGCATGGTCGCACATAGGTTTGTAAATTCAATGGACATCACTCCTCAAAATGTAACCTACTTGTATAAAAAAAATTGTATGTAATTGGAATATTTTTAATTTGACAACTTTCAGAATGTACATTCAGATTCTTTTTAGACGCTTATAATTCCAGTAGACAGGCAGCGACAAGATCTCATCAATTTACTGTTGAATGTTTATGAATTGGCTGGAACCATAAATAAATTCTATAACGGTTTCTAGTTTTTTTGTTGAACTCTCTTCCGGCTCCATGGTTTTCAACTTTAATCTTCAAAAATTTACATGCAACCAGAACCTCAGTCGTTATCTACTGTCTTCCTGATTACATTATTACCCTTCGTCATCTTTCTCGCTCCTTAAAGTTTTGTTTTTTAATTCTTTCACACCCAGTAACCATTTTTGTAAATTAATTTGCTTGGGGTAAATTCAACTAAAAAAATTACTTACTACTACATCTTGTCATTCACTTAATTAATAACTGAGAAATATCTACTTTGAAGTTAATGCTTCCCTAAACTAAACACAATTGTTATCTGTGTCGAAAAAGAAAACTTTTTTTTTTTTTTTTTTTTTTTTTTTCATTTATTTTTCTTTCCGTGACTAGTTTTTAGTCCTCTCTTTTGATTCGCTCTGTCTCTTCCCTAAGTCTATGAATATTTATACCTGGAGTAAAACTCGGAAGTCTAATTTTCCTCAACTGAAGTTTGAACTTTGCTGAATTATGAATGTTTTCATTTTGCTTCCTGTAGCTTGTGTGTGTTTTCAACTCTTGAAGTTTGAGTTTATGAAATTTCTAGACAATTTTGCTATTTGGTTTGAATATCGGTTGTCATAGTAATGCGATTAGATTACAAAGTAGCAATTTTTAATAAATCTTTTCTCCTTTTTTTTTTTTTTTTTTTTTTTTTTTTTTTAACTTGCTACAAATTCCAATTGAATATTAAACTCTTCTTTCTGTAAAACAGTAAAATAAACCACGTATCTCTTTTTTGGGTTCAAGAAATAGTTTTTCTTCCCCCCCCATTCATTCCGCTTCAATTTGTTACAAAAATGTTTTGGAGATATATATATATATATATATATATATATAAATATATATTTTTTATTTTTTTATTCACCAGGTGTGGCCTAACTTATTTGAATGACTACTGTTCACTTTAAGTACAATTTTTTTTTTTTTTTTTTTTTAAACTTTAACATCTGCTTTCTCTCACATATGAACACGGAATTAATGATCTTCAAAAGGCAAAAAAAAAAAAGCCTAGTGTATTTCAAAGTTGAGGGTGAAGAAGAAAAAAAATGCAGAAAATGTACCTTGAACAAGTTTGTCCCAAGAATGCAGGTGAAATGATTTCTTCCCCAAAAAGTGGAGAGACAGGGATAGATTGTTCTAGAATCCATGTTTCCTGCTCTTTCGTGGCTCGGTGGATAAAAGAATTGGTTGAAGTAATCCAGTGACATGACTCAAAGAATTGTGAGTTCAATACCTGGCTGCAGCAGAGATGAACAAACTTGGAGAGTTACCAAAAGGAAAATAACTGAAACTAAGATACCCAGAAAAGGATGTAAATAGTGTAAATTGGAACAAATAAATTTTTCAAACATTTGTAAATATTGGAAATGTTTTATTTAACTATAGATTTCTTGTTAATGGGAGAAAAACCTTACATATATTGAACCAAAAATGAAGAATCACAGACCTGGAAATGTTCATCCAACACCTAATATTAAAAAAATTTAGCTTGTCAATTTACAACTAACTCTTATAACTTTTGACAAATCAACCTTAACATTTAACAATGTTGCTTGGATTCTTCTCTTTTCTCTGAATTCAGTTTTAAAATCTTGAAACAGAAAATGCTAATTTTGTTTGCATTTTAAAATATTGTTTATTGAAATAATACCACTTTACGTGGTTGTTTAGGATTTTATGAAGTTCGCAGTTGAAATGTTGAAAATCAACAAAGAAACTAATGAAACCTTACAGACATATGTTTTAATCATGTTTACATGACAAGATTGTGCCTTTTAAGAATAATTGCTAAGGGAAATAAAAACAAATAAAAATTCTAATTTGAATTTCACAATGTGTTGTTTTAAATGTGTTTAAATAAACCTGATTAACATTATTATAATAACAAACTGTATTAAGCAGACAAAAATATTAGCAGCACAAGAAGATTAACCAAAATATGCAGTAATTTTTAGTAGTCCAGAAGTCTCTTGCCTCTTTCTCTCTTGTGTGTGTGTGTTGAAAGTGTCCATGATTTTGGCAGTACCTACTAAGTAGACAAAGATACTGACTCAAATTAGAAATTTTTATTATCACAATTGTCTACACTTTTTATGATTTTAAATTTTCACTTCGTAAATTTAATGTTTTTAAATTACTTACAATAAGTTATTGAATTGTTTTTTTTTTTTACACTATTTATTTTGATTTGTCTTCTATGGCTTATCAGCCTTTTGCAGGTTATTTAAAGCCAGAAAATATTTTTAGATTGTAAGATTTTTTTTCCTTTGGCGATAATGGTTTAGTGATAAGTCTTAGTGATTAACCCATAGCTGGAGGGAGAAGAGATGGATTCATACCTTTCCCAAGGGTATTTGTGTGTAAGTGAGTATAGTGAACCCTGTGGGAATTGGAATTTTACTCTCTAATTAACAATTTTAAGCCATCATCCATTACATTACTCAAATATTCAAGCTTACAGCACCTGGTATTCACAAGTGGTTACCCATCTTGGTAGTGACCAAGCACAAAGTTGCTTAATTTCATTGATTGTACAGGAACAGGTGTTTTTCAGCGTGATGTGGCCGTAAGCCCAAACTATTATATGACTAAGTGTTGTTGTTAGCTTCTGGGCATTGTATTTTCCAAGCATTGGCTGGAAATGTAGTTAATTTTGTTTCTGCCTGATTCATAATAATAATAATGGTAATAATGATGCTTCAAAATGTTGGAAGAAATCTGAAGACCTAATACATGCTTCTAAGAAATGAAAACATGAGAAACATTAGTGTGCAGGCTAATTTTGGGTGGCTAATTGAAGTGCTCTAATTTTGGTGTGCATTATACTTACAGGTATTGCTGGTGGATATTAGGAACTGAATTTCTGGAATTTCCTGTCTGTAGAAAGGAAATTTGTCAGATCCATTTCCCTTTATTTTTATTTGTCTGTTTCATTCTATACAGATTTCTTGTTTGTCTCTTTCGGCATTGTGCATTTTGGAAAAAAAAAACAAAAGGAACATTGCTATCCTGTTTGGAAGTTATTCCCAGATGTTTACTTTCAATAGGAATTCTGAACTGTGCTGATAAACAGTAGATACAAAGAAAGGCATGTAGACAAGGTTTAATCAACTCTGCTCTTACAAAAATTATAAGATTGAAGGCAACTAGATATTTGCATTTGGATCTGTCCTCTTGGTCATCTATTGACAGAACAATTTAATCAAAACTCTGAGGTAATGGGGGAAAAATATCTTAAGACTGTTACTTTTGGTCTCAACATATTAGCAGCACACACACACACATATATATAGTTGTATATTTAGGCAGCAATCCTTCCTTGATGCATGTTTCATTAAAAATGACAGATGAGGTACTACGGTTAAGCTTTTTATTTTATTTTATTTTTCTTGTGTTTGAACAAGAGATTTCTTTTTTGGACAAAGGCTATACTTTTAGCCATTATCAAGGATGATTCGATTTTTCAGCTTAATTGAGTGCATTTTGTAGTAGGGATGTTTTTAATTTCCAAATATGGTTAGCACATTGTGGCTTTGTTCATAGTTAATATTGTTAAGAGTTGGCTTTTTCTTTTTTTATTATTAAAGGTTCCATTATTTTTTGTCTTTTTTTTTTTTTTGCAGGTGGATGCAGTTAATATATTTGTTTTTCTACTAGTATGTTCTTAATGGAGTCTGGTAAATTTGTGTTTAAATGGGTTCTAATGGAGCTGTGATCAGATAGGTGTAACGTAAGATGTCTGGATAAGCATGTGGTTGTGTAACCAATGTAATTATGAGTCCGGAGATATAAAACATTTGGACAGTTCTTGCACACCCTTTATCCAGAAAAGAAAGCTCTTGTTCGAACACAAGAAAAATTAAATAAAAAAAGCTTAACTGTAGTACCTTGTCTGTCATTTTTAATGAAACCTGCATATATATATATATATATATATATATATATATATATACACACACCCCAATGAAAAGTGTGTGTGTGTATATATAAAAGAAAAATGTGAAATATAAAAAGTCAATTGCTGATACCCCTTAATAAGTGGATAGTGTTTGCTGGAGGTTCCTTCTAAGAAACTCTAGACTCTGGATGCTAAAGTTAACATCAATCAGCCTAGTGACAAACTTCATATTTGCATATATATATATATATATATATATATATATATATATATATATATATATATATATATATATATACACAATTATTGTCTAAATTATGCAGAGTCCTGTTGCAGAGATAGGATCTTCCAGCAGCCACCCTCTTGACTCAGAGCAGCACTACCTCCTCAAGGCATTTGATGTAGATATATGTTGAATCAAACAAAACAAACAAAATTGGGAATTCTTTTCTTATCAGAATGGTCAGTGAGTTTTCTGAGTTGCTGTACTTTCGTAATCACCATTAGACTCCAACTCTTTCTGAATCCTCTGCAGGTTGACACCCAAACACTCTGAAATGTTCATATTGGAGTTTCCAGCATAAATACCAAGCAGTACAGCATGCACTTTTGAAATTTCTTGCAGAGTGAATTCTGTCATGTTGTTTTTTATTTTTTTTATTTTTTTCACAGACTGTGCCCAACTGACCCTACTATACTGTGCAGTCCGCAAAATCAAAAAGGAACAATGTGCATGCACAATATTTGAAAAAAATAAAATGGTGATAATTTATCCATTGCATCCTATAATTTTTTTTTTTTTTTTTTTTTCATCCCAAGCAAAGCAACAAAGATGTAGAGGCTTATTGAATGTGAAAGAATATGATAAAATGAAAATTATTAAGGAGCAAAAAGAATAAAAGAGAAATTCGGAATGATTGACATAGCATTTAAAATTTTTGAAGATCAAAGTTAACAGAAAAGCAATGGACTGGAAGACTTCCACAAGGTAGAAGTGCGATAGAAGAAACTGTTAGCATAGAACTTGCCGTTATATCTAGCCATTTCAATTGTAGGATGATGATCTTGCCACCAATCTAGTACTGTGCGTAAATTCATAATGTCTGGATACCTTAGTGTAAATTTTATCAGAAAAAATTACCATGAAAATTTTTATAAAAAAGACATGGGAAGCTACATTATGATTGTGGAAAAGTGACTGAAACCAACATACCAGGTGTGAAGTATATATAATGTGCTATTGTAGATAGTATAAAAGTTGCTGTACATAAACATATTCTTAATGTTTACTGGTATGTAATATCCAAACAAGTATTAAATTCCGCCAGAAATGTTTACTAATCAACTTATTCTGTCTTTCCAAATGAAGTGTTTTATATTGACATTAAAGTTATGAATATTTTTTTTTTCTTAAGTACTTTTGACTATCATAGTCATTGTCAAGAACAGGTGTTACCAGTAGAATAAGCAATATTTATTTGAATAAATTCTGGCATTTCTGGATGGCTGAAATTAGTTGGAATCGATTCAGTGATGTTGTTTGTAATGGTTAAATGGAAAATCTTAAGACCTGAATAAACGGCCTAATTACAAAGTTGAAAGTTGGATCCACAAAGCTTAACAAAATTTTGTGTGAATATCATCCTGTCTGTTTATATGGAAATGTTTAATCCATAAGACTAACTTTCTGCTACATCTCATAATTTCTCAAATTCTTACTCCTGTATATAACTTATCTAAAACTCTAAACTAAGTGATCCAGTAATATTGACCAAATAGTGTTAACTCCACTCATGATTTCTTTGACATATTGCATTCTAATAAATCTAACAGTGACGTTTTAGCCTTGTTGGACACTGAAAGTCTGTTTACCAGTGTCTCTGTCAAAGAAACTTTAGACAGTAAACCAATATAATCATTCCATGCTCTCACTTAATACTAGGCCAACAATTTTCTGTAAATTTGCATGATACAAGAACCATTTTATGATCAATCTGGAAAGATTTACACACGAATTGAAAGTGTAGTGATGGGCTTGATTCTGGCTCCCACTTTCTCTAATTTCTACATAACCCATGTAAGAAACAGTCTTTTAAAATTTTGCCAAATCCTCCACATATATTTCTGATGTATTAACATTCTCATTGTGATAAAGTATCAAGAGGCCCCCACTGTTTTGCCTGTGGGGGGGGAAAAGTGTTGTTGGCTGAAAAATAATACCTCACCCACAAGGCTGCGCACATGATTTTGAACTCAAGATAGATAAGTGAGAACTGGGCAACTTCAGACTCAAATACAACAAAAGAATATGACCTCTGGACAATTTATTCATAACTTCAATCCCGATGTACAATACCTAATTCAGAAATTGGAAAGATATAAAAAAAAAAATGAATAGACAAATTTTGTTGGTGGAAATTAATAAGACAAATTCTTGCTGCCTAAATCCACCACATATTGTGCTTATCTTAGTTTGGTATATAGATCTAATAATAATGAGAGGTACTCATGAGAGTTTTTAATTCTCCTCACTTGTTGCCAGACTTCAAGCTAGATATGCAATTCTAATAATGCATAATGGTGGGGAAAAATGTCATCAAACTTGTTTTCCAAAATTTTTTTTTTTTTCTTTTGAAAAATATTTTTGTTTTATGTTCTGTTCACAACAATGATTTTGAGAAGTTTAGCTCCTCCTACCCCCAAGAAAATACTGTCCAAGGTTAAAGGATTTATATCTCGCTCTCTCTCTCTCTCTCTCTCACCTACCTTCCACTTGTAATTCTGAGAAGTTAAATGCTGCTGGTAAAGAAAACTTTGAATTGTCTGACCTAAAATCTAAAACCTATATTTTTCAAAGTTTTGCCAATTCAATTAAAAAATGATAAATTTTTGAGGGCAAAAAAAGTGGCTAAACTTTGCCTATCTATAATTGCCTGCATCAAATATTGTAATTAACTTAGAATTAGTCTCAAAATTATAAATGCTAGCAAAGTATGCATAAAAAATAACACTTATTCATATATGGATTAGTACTTCTATTTTAGTTCAGTGTCTCTGTATTCTGCAAAGATCAGTGTTTCCCTGTGCATCTGCCTAGGATCCGTGTAGTATGTGTGCAATGTGAAAAGTATCTTATATGCCAATTTGTGTATATATGCACAATGCTCTCAACTGTTTGTCTTTTCATTTACACCCAAATGAATTGGTGGGGGAGAAGCAAGAGGGGGAAGTGGATGAAGGAAGGTATGAAAGGAGAAAAGATAGATAAAGACAAGCTCAATAATTTCAATTTTAATACTCCTTTACCCCACTGGATATCTTTTGAAGAATAGAGAATAATTTCTAGTTTAGTATTATTTATTCCTTAAACTTTTCCTAAAATCAAGTACCTTCAAAAATTCTATAAATGAATACATGTGAATACATGATAAAAGCACAAAACCTAACAAAAACAAACTTTTATTTTCAAAACCTTTGAGTTTTTATTAAGATGAAAAACAAAAGGAGTTTTTGATTATTAAATTATATTTTTTAAAATTATTTTTAGAACCTTAAATTCTGGTTAATTTTTTTTATGTGTGAACAAGTGATCATAAATTTGTATGGTGGTGTGGGAGGGGGAACAAAAAACATTGATTTGGAAATTCTTGCAAATTATAAGATTTTAATGAA